TAACTGGCCACGAACCGATTGCTATTAATTTTGCCATTCGATATTTTTATCCTTACCGATCAGATTTCCACAGTATTATGTTTTGTTATTCAAAGTTATCAGGGCATAAAATATATCTATTACTAGCTGACCTGGCAAACTTCGTACCGCCTAAAAAATATTTTTCTCACCTTTTAAACCTTCCCTGGACTTCCACGAACATTTCAAAATTAGCCAAATCGGATCAGCCGTTCTTGAGTTTTAGCGAGACTAACGAACAACACGAGGGGTAACGGACTATTTGGTTTAAGCGACATTTTGGGCGATTTTGAGTTATATATATATTCGGAATCAGCGAATCTTTCTCCGTCGAATATATGTAATAACTCAAAATCGCCCAAAATGTCGCTTAAACCAAATAGTCCGTTACCCCTCGAACAATTCATTTTTATTTATATAGATAAATAAAACCCAATGAACAATATTTTTTTAGATTAACGACCCCAATAAATGAGGATTTCCTTACCTATATTGGATTAGAATCCTGAATCAGGAAAACCATTGCATTGTTAAAATTTTCAAAAGTATTTAATATTCGTGTAATTGTCTGAAATCGTTCTCAGTGCTAACTTTAGCGACATTGGTGAAAAATTTAATTTCAAAGATTACAGTTAATATAGTTTGACCACAAAGCCTAGAGTAGCAAATTATCCAGAATTTTCTAAAGCAAAAAGCCAATAGAAGTTTAATGACAGCGACATTTAACACATTTAACAGCTCCATTCGACCTATTTGTTGGAAAACTTGAAACCAGAGAGAAAAAAAGGAACAAACGCGAAGTTCCAAGGCGAGGCGGCGCGGCGTCCTCAATCGAACGTCGAGTTCGCTTCCGGTGGAGCCTACTTCCGCCCCCGCGACAGTTCCGCTACACTTGTATAACATACTATGTTGAATTAACTTGACAATTGTACAACTAATAACTATTTCCTTTATATTTTTCAATAATAAATCTGTTGATTGCCATCATTTATTTAGCTTTGTAGGCTTCATTGCAATCAGAATACTGGCTTAAAATCTACAATGGTGTATCATATGCGGTGATAAACTCGTCACCCTCCTCTACATGGCAATCATAGCCAACGAAAAGCTTTTATATTTCTCTTTTTATAACTTTCTTCCTTTGAGTACCTTCTATAACCTCAGTTAACCTCTTCAAAGAACATAAAAAATTATATTTAAGTACCTTTATTTATACATTACCAAATAAGGTGAGGCCGTCGCCTCGTGAAGCACCATTAGACGCTCTCCCACAAATATACTGTCAACGTCTGACGTTCTACAGACACTTAGCGCCCTCTTGCGGTCCTTGGGAACAAACACAACGGATCAAGGACGCTGGAAGGTCGCCTGTGAGGTTGTCAACTGATGTCGGCTTCTAATAAGTCTGTTGGTTGGTAGTCGAATGATTATATCTGAGAATAATAAATAATAATAATATAGGTATAAGTTAAATATTTTAATGGGTTGACAGAAATAAGTTGGTTTTCCAAAATCTCCGTATTCAACAAAAGGACTCTCAATGTATTCTCCTTTGCTGCTATGCTTACTATAAAGTTCAATATAAAGTTACAACAGTCATAATCGTTATATTAAACTTGATACTATTAGAAGTGACATAGGATAACTTCGATCAACAATAACAACTAGATATCGGGTTGGCGCAAGAAAATCGTCTCGACAAATAAGAGCTCACTTGAGAAGTGAGCTCTTATTTTGTTTAGTATGCTCCAAACACGGCCAACGTACTGACGTCTCACGATGCCGCAGTGCGTAATTGCAATTTGCAAAAATAATAACCGAAAAAGCAGTATTACGGCCGGAGTGTCTTACTTACGATAAGTCCATAAAGTATACGTTATATTTTAAGCTTTTAAACTAGTAAATAATATCAAATTAGACAAAATTACCAATTATAAAACAACACCACCAATGTTTGTGCGTATGTTGGCCAAGCATCGCCAACACGCGCACAAACATTTGTTTAAACAGAACAGTGGATGCATGGAGTCGATTTGTACTGTAAAATAAAATTGTATTGTAACCTGATTGGAATACAGTACCTAACCTATGGAGTTTCTTGCTCGTTCTGTTCCATAGGAATCTACACCTAGGAATGAGCAAATAGTTCACTTTTAAATTTATATTATTGACGTTCAAAAGTGCCTTCCTGGTCTAACTGAAATAAATGATTTTGACTTAGACTTAAACTTTTAATAATAAAGTAAATAAACATATCATACACAAAAACGTACCGCTAATAAAAATAAGTGATGTATACTAAGATCCCGAAATATTAATTTTCATAATTTATAAAATTATTTTAGTGTTCAACGCTACTCCATACATACCTCCTGTAGCGAAATTCGAAATTCGAAAAACAAAAACGAAACAAAACAAAACGATATATTATTTCAAGGTAATAACGGAAAAATTATCTTTATTTGTTCTAGGTTAAGGTTGTATTCAAACTAGATATTGAATAACTTATTTTCTATGGGCATTTTCTATGGGCATGTGCCTGAAATAAATGAATTTTATTTTATTTATTTTTATTTTTATGTCTTTTAATTTCTACATGACAAGAGTAAGAAAATGCTTTTCTCGTCTTATATGACAAATGGTCGTAAGTATTAGATAATATTTTGGCGATTTATGACTTTATTATTAGGTGCCATGGTTGTTATTAGGTTGACCATAAAACCATTTTAAAACATTTTTCTCTGTTTGTTATTTTTTTACTATTATTATTCACACGGACAGAACTGGAGCTTGATTTTGTACGTAACCCTTTATCTAGTTGCTATTGTTGATCGAAGTAGGATAATAATTATCTAGCATCTAGGATTCTAGGTAGTCATCCAATGTTTAAACTGTCAAACACCAAACTGTCACCGGTGACCGCAACCTATTGTTCTATAATTGTGTCTAGAGGTATAATGCCGTCATTATAGACACAATTATAGAATAAGTACCGTTACTTGACGAATAAAATGCAAAAAAACAAATAAGCAGCCGTGTGTCTATAAATGAAATCTTGGGTAGGTAACCCAAACTCCGCTGTAAAACAAATACAGGTGTGTCGACTTATACGTAGACAGATTTAGATTTATAATTGAATCGGTTGTGGATAAATTACGTACATACATATTGCTGATATTTAAAATTCATGAAATAAGATGCAAATTAAGTAAAACAAATGTTCCTCGTTCCCTTCTGTACTTTCGACCCTTTTCGTAAACCGAAATAACCATTGGAAAACCAAAAATACAAAACAGGAGCACCAAGCTCATACAAAATGTTCTAAACACAGACTAAATCTAGATGATAATCCTGCTAGTACAGTCCACGGCACGTCCACAAATACCGTCACACAAGCAATAGAAGATGAATGCAATCCAATACATGCTTCTAAGGACCATCATTATTGCTGAAATCAGGCTGCTACTGATACTAATACTATTATTGCTTTATTTTGTGGGTTGATTTGTGTAATAATTTGGCTTTTCGTGTGTTTATCTAGTGATGATAAAGGTTATTTTCATGATGCGTTATGTTTTATGTTTCATCATAAACGATTGTGCTAAACATTAAGTACCTTTCCTTCTCGGAATATTAATTTTTAATGTAAAAAATTGTTTTATTTTATTATTCAAGTCTTCTTTACCAGTTCTCGTATAAATATATTTATATTTTATCTAGTCTTGTCGTTTCTTTTTAACAGACCGCGAACTTTTAAAACTTGCCTTGTTCTTCAAGAAAGATTTAAAAATTCAGCAGAAAATCTGAACGAAACTTAGAACAACAATATTCCTTACTTTGATGTTGGAACAACTTTCCTAATTTCATTAATGATATAAATTATAATTACTTTGTTCTGGTGTTGTGGTTTCACAACACTATCGCATTTCTAACATTAACAAGGAAACTTCGGCTGTTATGTTATTTATAAACTGGTATTTTTCAGGGTTTTTTCGATTACGGCAAAGAACAATCCAATTATTAATTCTCCGCATAAAGTGGATGTTGCTAAGTGATAGTCACTTACCATTTTAGCTCATGATATTGTATTTGAAAAAAAACATACTCTTTCTTCCTTTTTTAACTGCATATTTGTCAATAGCTGCGTTGGTTCAGAATAGGTAGTTGCATTAAAATGGAGTGCTAACAAAGTACACATATAACTTAGAATTACATATTATGTAAGAACTATTACTGTTTCAAGAGAAACAAGTGCAATGTGAATGTAACGTCTCATGAGGTGACCTTTCGCTAGTACTAATAACCCAAATTAGGTCCTTCTTTCACATAACCACTGAACCAACGAAGTAGACCAGTATCTTGGCCCTTGGGAGACAACATACACAATGTAACACATATGTACCTATATGTATAGCAAAGCTGGTCCCTACCATATGATCAAATCAACATAGTTAGGTGCGTCAAAGCGTTGACCTCAATCTCGTCTGTACCTCCCATTGAGGTATTTGTAGCCACGGGTAATCTCATTGCTTCCGTAGTCAAACGTACATATACACACAGGTGGTTAGTGTATGCCGATGTTAGGAATTGGCCTGTTAGGTTCTTTGTGTGAAATTCTTTAATTGTGAATGACTAGAAAATGATAATGAGTTTAACAACTTACGTAGAAGTATTTTCTGTTATAAATGTCGCAATTTGCTGAAAAAACAAGTTAGGAAAGGTGTGCTCAATCCCTACTTTGTTGAATGAATGAATGCTCATGAGAAAATATATTTTAGGAAGTTTGTGTCACCAATTGATCGTTTGACTCATTCAATGAAATCAGTTATCATAAGAATTTCTTCCGTATTTCTAAAATCGTATTCGATTACATATTTGATGATTTATCTCTAAACCTAAAATAAAAAAAATGATTCATGTCATTCACCAATTAATCCAAGAGTCGTACCATCTAACCTAACCAAAACGTGTGTATATTCCAGAGAAGGGCATGTACCTGGGGTCGCCGTGTGAGTTCACCTGCAACCCCAAGCTCATGCACGTGTACTGCGACCCCACCACGGCCTCCTGCCAGTGTGACCCCAAGCACCCTGTCGCCGTCGGCGTCGCTCAGGGATGCGCTAAAGGTATTTTGAAAAACATTCATTGAAACTTTATAAATTAAATGACTCTTAAAGGTAAGGCAAATTTCGTATCACAAACTCCAGATTGTGAATCAAAAGACCACGTTTTATAACCTCCATTCGGCAGTCCACATTTATGGGAATTACAATTCTGTTTTCTTCAATAATTTCAGAATATGAGCTACGTGAAATGAGAGAAACAATCGCACGAGTTTGACTCAGTCTATCGATTTTACTGATTTCAATAGAACAACGTCGCTTTTCATTAAGTTATAAACAAAAGCGGTTTTGACATTTGATAACACGTGTTCTAATAAAACCTTCGTAGTCCCAGGGTCACGAGTCTGCAACGGAAACCTTAAATGTTTACAGGACTGGAATAAAATCATTCCATCGGTCCCATTATTTCCATCCCCGCTTTCAAGGTCCCCCTTTTATCCCTTTTGTAGCAAGTTGCGTTGTTCGAAACTTGTGAGAACAAGTGATAGACTAAGTTTCACAAGTATATTATGTTTTGTCGGATTCTGTAGGAAAATTTACCGTTTTATTTTATCGACATTTCACCTTTTTGTTTTGGTTAGCCAGAAGGGTAATAAAGGATCGTTTATAGATTTACAATGTCGAATGAGATTTGCACGCGGATGCCATCATTTAACAAACATGTGAGAGAAAAATACAAAACTAAACTTTGCCTTTTTTAGTTAATATCCGACGGGTAATTCTGAAGACATTCTGGACATTTTTGAAGTTGACTAAATATTTTTTATCTATCTTCCAGCTAAGAAATTGGGTGAACAGTGCTTCTACCGCGAGACGTGCAAGGCATTCGACAGTCACGCGTCATGCGTGCAGGTCAACCACAATGCGTATTGTCAATGTGACTCTGGCTACCATCAGACCAGCCACACCAGGCCAACCACCAGGATATTTTGCACCGAAGGTAACTGGGCATCAACTATCATAAACATCTACATCTACAACTTGCTTATCATGGAGACTACAATACATTTTTAAAACTTCTCTTTTTATCCGTAGCTGACTCAGGGAGTTAAGTGTTTCGGTTGATGATGATGAATGAAATAATATTAACAAAGTATCTTCTTCTTTCAGATCTGGTGTTGCTGACGGCCGACATGCCGACGCTACTGGGCGTGGCGTCGGGTATCTTCGTGCTAGCCGGCCTGCTGTGTATGGTGCTACACCTGTACACCAAGGCGCGGTACCACCCCACGCATCTGGCCGACGCGAGGCTTACGCCACCTTGTCTGTACTCACTTAACGACACAGGTCAGTTACCCTATATGAATAAAACTACAATTATAGTCAGTACGAGGGGGTTCAAGTTAATTGGGAGTCTCTTAGACTGGAGATGCAATGACAAATAAAATAAGCTACCGTTTACGTTCGATTAGACTTTTGAATAGAATGTGCTCGTGTTTAGTGCCAGTGATATAAGTAAGACACCTGCCACTGTAATGCACAGTAGGCTCATGTATGTAGAGTGTGCGTATGCGCTGCACGAAGATCTGTCTGCAGGAGGCACGCTGAGCGGCACGCGCGCATCGTCCCGCGCGTCATCGCGCAGCGGCTGCACGTCAGGGACGCTGGACGAGCGTGACGGCGCGGGGTCGCGGCGCGCGTCCCGGCGCGCTGGTGTGGCGGTGTCGGCGTCGCGCGCAGGTGCGGCGCGCACCGCGGCCATCTTGCTAATCTCGCGCCACCTCAAGGCCGTAAGGCGGGACGGCGGCGCGCACCCGCCTAAGTGCGCCGCCAAAGGTGATCTGGATAATGTATGCGGCGCGGTCCCATCATCTGCACGTCTCGGTGTCCGGCTACCGACGGCTCCCGCGCCCAGCCTCAATGCAGGCCTGCTCCGCTTCATCGGGACTTGAAATGTTTGGTACAGACAATACAATGGTCCATAGTGGAACATTTTCAGGGCGACTTTAACAGCTCTTACTGATATGATCCCACTTACAATTGAACTTACAGTTCCACACCTAGACCGAAATTTACTGACATATGAACTATAACGGCTAATTCCTTCGCACGTAAATAACTTTGAATGTCGACAGCACATGTTCCATACTCCAGCATGAGTGCGGAGCGGTGCAGGCTGCGCATCGAGGCCGGGTCGCGGGCGCATGAGAGGTCGTCGTCGGCCGTGTCCGTTAGATGTTGCGTCTCGGTGTTAGCGACCAGGACTGACTCCAGTCTGCGACTGATCTCCCACAATCCCACCGAATATGCTGAATTTATTTCAAATATTTTACAGAAACTTAATTATTTCTGCATAGATTCCTTTCCTATACATGCAATGTTTGTACAACAAGTGTAGGGTACAAATTCTATTCGATGATTTTCCCACATTAAAAAAAAGGGTACAAATTCTGTACTCACGTGCTTTAACCTTTTCTGTTTTTAAATTCTTATACGTAGGTAGTTAGATCTTCGCTAAATCATAAATCTAAATTTTTAAGTAAGGGAAGTTGGTTTTACATTATGCTATTGTTATAAATAGCCATTTGTTTCCTGAAACTGCAAATAAACCAATTTAGAACAGGAAATATTCAGATAAATTAATGACTGATGGTCATAGGGTACCTACCTCATTAGTGCATCAACAAACTGATCATCCCTACCAATTTTCCTGTTTATTCCGTATGTGGTATTAAGTTTTATTCCACTAGCATATATTACTATTATGATCATAAAATACTTTGAATATTTCTGCAGTTCTTTTTATTTTCTGAGTGTCGTACAACGGAACCGTCCTCAGGGTCTCAAACCGTGACTATAATACTTAACAACTGGTCAGTTGGCGTACTTTTCTCGAGCAGAATATGACCACACTACCCTCTTCTCAGCATATTCGGTGGCTGACAATAGTGACGTAAGTACAGCTTACTGTGTGTGAGGCTTTACTCGTGATTGGCTGGGCTTGGTGGAAACGTGGCGCGACAGTCGCAGGATGAAGTGTTTTGGCGGCGCGAGCAAGATGGCCATGGTCCTTTCTATCTATCTCTTTCCCACACGCCTAGTTTGTATGTGCTAACGAAACTGAAGATGAAATAACAAGGGTTGAAGATGGCAGTGATGCCAGAATAATTAAAGTACGTATTTACAATTTGCTTTACACTACACAGTGCTGCATGGAAGTTGATCGCTTCGACCAATTCCATTTTATATTTTAACAACTAATCTCCTAACTTATTATACCACCAACATTTGACATCAATATTTTACCTATAGCAAAATTGGCGAACAACACACAAACTTTTAGTTTAAATCAACCAGTTGAACATCAATGCAATCAGCGGCTCATGCATTGCATTCAGGCAGGAACACGCCACAGTTCACACGCCTCGAGCTGCAAATTTACCTCTATCACGACAGTCACAGTCACATTTCCTGCGATTGACATACATGTAGTACTGTTCGCAAGCACAATCGGAGGTAGGCGAAAGCTTCAGTTTCATGGGCCCAGCTCCCCTGATGACTTGACTTTCTAAAATCGTTAGAAATGTCAAAAATGTATGAGAATTTGAGGATGTCATAGAGTTTTGACATTCTACAGTAAATGGTGTTAGAAAGTGACATCGTCTACGTGGACAGCACTGCTTTTCCGCTTCAATATCTGTGAACACCTCACTGGCTGTGCATGTCTGCTTCCACTCACCTATTTTTGTATGGAGCTCAACATTACCTACACACTGACAATCCGTTGGCTTGGAAAAAGTGATTTTTATGGTTCTACTTAAATACTTCTTTGTGGTCCTTTTGCTATGACAAGCAAATACTTATACACAATTAATTTTCGAAAAACTTTGACTACTTAAAACAATGCCACTACACTACTTTAATCATAAAGAGATAAAGTAAAACACATATACCCATGAAAGTACATGCAGTTATATCAATACCAACAAATTAACAATACAACACTCTCCACCAGAAGGAATAGATAAACTTCTCTTTCCTACAAAACTAACCTAAATCTCCATCACCTAACTTTTTGGACTAAATGTTGTCTCCACAAGTATTTAGGTATATGTAAATTGTGTACATAAGTACTAGCTATTGCTATCCGCTACGCTATATTTGTTCGTATCTTCGTGTTGTTTATTCTTCTTTTAAACAAATTCAGTATTTAAAATGTTAATCTAAATAAAAAGTTAAGTAAACTACTTTAACCATAAGCTTTCCACATTTATCACAGCTGGACATATCAAATAATTCCTTGAAACGAAAAGAAGCAGCAGTCGCTTCTCACAAATCACAGAAGAAACTAAAGAATGTGAAATAGTTCGCACGCATCACCTGTTCCTTTGTAACGTTAAAGAATTTCTAATGCTGTCCTTTTCTCCCAGGTTCGCGACGTCCAAGTCTAACTTCTGTGCAAAGCAGTTCATCTTCTATCCGGAGCTACAGTGCGAGACGATGGGAGAGAGAAAGAGAACAGAAGGAAAGGAGACAGATGAGCATGCGTCTCGCTCAGTTGCACGACAAGATGGCGGCAGGGCGGGAAATGCCGAAGCATGCCCCGACCCCGTCTCCTCGGTCGCCCAACAACTCTACAGATGGACTGCTACCGTCTGTATGTGAAATTAGAGAAGTACGATCATTCCTCCTGTCCTTAGTAGTGGAGAGAACCAAGTAAGATTACAGGCTAGTTCTGTTTCACGAAGTCAAATATTCTTCTTTGACGAATGCAGTTCGTTAAAGGACCACATTTCTCAATTTTAGGAGGTGCTTGATAATTTTCCAGATGACCTCAATATAGCAGTAATTACTATTAGAACAATTTGAGTCAGTATAGAACTTAGCTTTGCTGCTACTATTTTTAAAAGTCTAAAAGACTTCGTGAAGTAGGACATTGACTTTACCATTCAACAAAAAACAACCGGTAATGTTTGACCCCAACTCCTTACAAGGATTGCACGACAACAACATTTTTGTTACCATATATGACAATCAAGTCATGTTTTCCTTTTCACTGACATGACCCAGATTTGGTAATACAACCTTTTCCGTCTTGTAAACTTTAGCCCTTCCGTGATAGCTGATGAGCACCTACATTTATTTACACTAGAAACCCCTCCTATCGACAGTTAAAATGGACGTGCCTATTAGGTAAACCTAAAGTTACATAATTGTGCGATGTTTTTTCACCATTTGGGAGATAACAGACATTCATAATATCTACGTACAGTATTTCTTAAACACAGATATAAACGAGAAGAGCGAAAGAAAGTTTACATCATTCAAAACTAACAAAACTGTTCTCAATCTTGCAGTTAATTACAAATCCTGAACAACAGTTGCAAGGAGTGGACGGGCCGTGTTCCAGCTCCTCGCTTTACTGACACCAGGCCCACGGCAAGACAAGGAGGTCCCTGGACTCCTTGTCATCAGACGGCTCACCAGCCATCGCCTGGATGTAGACCGTCAAACCTCGGAGTGACTGAACTGTAACAAATTACCAAATTAGCTACCCACTAAGAAACGTTTAGTGTATGACCATCGAATGCATGTAAATAGAAGAGTGTGTAAGGAACTTAATTTGTAATGATGATGACAAAGACCCCTAATATACCACGTCAGGCACTGTAAGCCTGCGATCCCAGTTGTTGATATTGTAAGTAAACGCTTATTGCTTATAATTAGATCGATGAGTTTCTGGTTGCGTCATATGGTGATTGGTAATGCTATATATATTTCTGGGTCCGAAATTCTATAGCAATATTATTACGTTCAATAAAAAAAGAACAATATTTTATTTATACTTGTACTTGTACCTAAACTCATATGATAATGAGGCAACGGAAATATGTTTTTAGGCATTATGTATTTAAAAAGTGAAAAGCAACTGAACATACTTTCGAAGGAGTTAAATTTTCGTTCATAAAAATTATATAAATTATAGAACCAAGCAGCATATGACGCGTCCTCGAACATTCCAGAAAATAAAAGTATAAGACTAGTTAACGATAGTGTTGTAATTTAATAAAAAGTTGTTATAAGCGCATTTATATGATTTGTATCGGTTAACGTGAACCTCTAGATTTATAGATAAATGTACGCAATAAGTTGATGTTAAATCGAAATATATATTGATTTGTTATTTAATATTATTATGTGGGAGACGAGTGAAATAATTTATGTGTTTATATATACGTAAAATAAATCACCAGATTATTTTTAAACATATCGTTTTATATTAATATGGTATCGACTGTAAGAAACGGCTATAATACTTTTTATATTATCTACTTTTACTAATGTACCTGATTGTTATTTTTGTTTAAGTGTAAGTGAATTCAACGCATCTGTTTTGTTTGTGGACAAGAATAATAGCGAGATACTAGGATTAATAAATGTCATGATGGAAATCTGTAACATGGTTACTTCGCGAACTATCCGGCTCGAATATAGACTAAGGAATACATATTACTAGGTTCAACACACATCCACAGCTTGACCGTATTGGCTGGTTCATATTTATTATTGCGATCGTAGTAACCATTGGATATCGATATCAAAGGGGGAAGTCGGACCGGGTAGTTAATATTAGCCGGCTAGTTTGATAACTAACCTTGTTATTGGGTTTATTTGGTAATCGTGTACATTAAAGGTAATATAGGTATGGAGTGGTTGCGATGTGGCTCCGGCCAGGCCTTATAATTCAGGAAACTGGAACACGGAAGTGTGCTGATTGATAAAGCATAGAAACAAAACATTTTGTACTCGTAATGTAAATAAATAGTTCGAGAAATAGTTAATTTAGTGTTCGCTTGCTGAAGTTGGTTGTCTGACACTGTCTGCTTGCTCTCAATAAATATTATTTTTATAGGATCGTATAGTTTAAGACGAAACGCACATCTCGATAAAAGTTAATAATTTCTACAAAGTGAAGTAAGCCATTCATTGTCACCCCCAACATTTTAGTAGCGGACATCGACTATCTTTGCTTAATAACTACTTGATTGCTTAATAAGTACGACGTAAAAACGAACACCGTGAGGACTTTTAATAAGCTTCATTTCATTAAAATCAGCTTGTAAGCGAACCACGAAAGATTCCCCGCTAAAGAATTCCGTGGTAGACCTCCTAGTATCGACCATACGATTACTCCGAGTGTTTATTCTTTGAGTCTATTTTCATAATCTTCCTCATGCTGCTTACCATGACGGTAGATAGGATAATTGAATCTAATTCCTGTTTTCTTTGAGAACCGATAAAACAACAGCTTTGTGTTGTGGTTCTATTGTTATATGAATAAAGGTGCTTATTCTTTGTTTGTTTATCCGTTTAATTCAATCGATTGTGATAGTGATCTTATACCTTAAGAATGTCGCGGAGAACCTAACGGGTAACCGGGACTCCGGCTCGACGTGCAGGAGAAGGAACGGGGTGGTTTTTAGTCAGTAAGAGTCTGACACTAAGGCGGGAGCAGTCATTCGATGATATTCTCCCCTTAATAAAAAAAAATCCTTAAGAATGTGGTCTTAAAAAAATTACATCCTTGTGATGTAGAGACTTCCAAAGAGTTTGGTGTCTTATCTCTTATATTTCCTCCATTTTTCTTCCGAAAGCAGACAGTGAAAGATATATTCAATAAAAAATTCGATCAAATTATGTAATCGTGATAATAACTTGTAGTCATTTAAAGAGTATCCCGTTGTTTTGTAATAGCACAAACTGAAGGCGGTTCTTACAAATAATTATGGATTCGACGTCGGATATGTTGTGTTATCGCTGTTTGCATTGCCAAAATAAAATGTCAACTGGAACTGATTTTGTTTTACTTCCGTAGCACCTACACCTACTCTGCACAAAGCTACCGATTGTGTCGTTATTCCTAGAAGCGAAGGGTCCTAGTATTTATTCGTCTAGAACCAAGCTACGTGACTACTTAATACTTAGGTCGTAAATAGAGGCACTCCACACTAGATTTTACGCAAACTGCACAAACTGTCGCGAACTCAGTGACGTCTCGCTACTCACGTCACTACTGCCATAGACGAAGAGATTTTTATTTTATCAACTTCAAGTTCGTCTAATCGTTTCAACTTCAGTACCCCCTACCTATACCTCAGGAGCATTCCTAAGGAGTCAAAAGAATATTAATAGGTAGGTACATACATATATACCTACATACATAACAACACTCCATATTACGCACTTATACTAGGTAAAATAAACATCTAAATACCAGGTGTATGTTCGGCAACATTCGGGAACCGAGGGTATTAAAATGGTGAAAGGTTCTTGACTTCTTTCTACAAAACATCACAAATTATTTTTACATTAACTAAAAAAAGTGTCATTCGTAAAGAATATAGACACAGACAGTAAAAACAATACAATTTGTAAACAAACTACGAATACTGGATGTAAGCCAATAATGTAGTCCTGACAAGGGCGTCATCTAGTGACGTCACTACTTGACGCAAGTAGCAAGATCCACTGAAGCCCTTCTTCGGTTGTCCACGATACTCTAGATATAAATAGTTCAACATACTTCAGACGTAGAATGTTCTATTAATAAGAAAATTCTCTATTTCTATTTGAATACTGTCGCGTTGGTCCAGCGTTTTCTGTGGTCCAGCGATTAGGTACAATCGTGATTGCTGCACCGAAATGAATTACATATCCACACACACCTTTGTCTTAAATACTTAGGTTTCACAATCTACAAAACACTATCTACTTCTAGAACTTATTTCATGCATCAAGCCATAACGCATTACATTACAAAAATAGCTATGATCTTTAGTAATGTTTTATTCTTAACAAACATTCGGAAACACTTCTTTGAATACAATGATATAAATTGTAAACAATCTGCTTCCGCAAAAATAATCGTCATTATTACTCATTCATTAGATAACGTGGAACTGTGAGAATCACCTTCGAGAATATCTGATAGCCTCTAGCAAATTGTCACCAAATGGGCAACGGAAATTAACGGGAGTAAATATTAACATCCTATCATAATCCTAAATCTCTGGATGTATTCAAGTTTTTGACCGAAACTTCAATTGAGATGAGATTGGATATTAATTTTGGCCATTAGTCAATATCTCGTACACTATGTGTCTCTCATTTACCTACTCATTACCCCGCCTGACTCTCTCACTCATTACCGATGTTACCTTATTATTCATACGGTCCTAGGCATGGACTACTTAATTAATCGATAGTCCTAAGGCAACCTGACTGAGCTCATGGACTCAATAGTTCTTTGTCATCAAGGTTAAGATCAATGAGTAGGTAAGTCAGCTAGACGAGCCAGTGTTTATCTGGTGCATTCAACATTTTGATTTGTTATTGTTTGCAGAGTCCAAATTCCATACAAAAATATCTGGTTTCTGGCCAGTAGATCGTGAAATATTTGCATAAACATTAGCATAACACATTCTCGTTCACGTTCAAAGATAATTTTAGCTTATCAATGTAAAAATTGCTCATGCCTAGAACAGTGTGGAATATTATTCAGCAGCCTGATAATCTAATGGAACTTTCGACTAGAGATATAAAGATATAATACACTTACAGGTACCTAGGTAATACCAATGTTCAAGGACTGATAACTGTAACTGCACATAATATAATAAAACAACAATTGGATAATGTCATGCACTCATTATGATCGTTTCTTTATCGTGTCCACAGGAATGAGGTCGATTCCGGGACATTCCCGAAACGTCTTTCAGAAGTACCTAAGTAGGTAATGTCACGGAAATGAACTAAGTTTTATTCTGCTCTGTATGGGTGCTATTCATATACCTATAACTAGATATAAAATCTACTCAAACAACTAGAAAGATACTTCACATTTATTGATCCTTTATTACACTATTGGCACTATCTAGAATCTACCCATGCATTATGTTAGGATAAGAAGGTAGATACTATACCTACGTATGCATCTACATATCTGAGTATGGGTACCTTTATTATGCATGATATACATATATCAATCCCTGATTATGTCGCTGGTCAAAGTATGTAGGTACTAATATATACTTTATCTAGATGCCTGTTTACTAAAGGGGAAGATAAAAATGTTTACTTACTGAACAATTTCCAAATATTGTGGCAAAACTAAGGTAAGTACCTACGTATCAATTTATTTTTGAATACCGTCTTGGTTACATACTCATTTTTGCCTTCCAGCCTTTCGGGTGCCTCTTTTTATGTGGACTACCTCTTATTCCTGGTTGTTTCAGACAAACATGTTCATACCGATTTGCTACCCATGCAGGTACCATAAACAGACAATTCCTTCATGCATCAAAGTAATAATGGAGACAAACGGGATATTGTGGCTTCCTCTAATACCTACACATAATGAACGGGGAAAGGTCGATGACATGGACGACTTCCAACCGTGACCGGTTACACAGTACCTACATTAATTTGTGGGCACAATATACTATCTACATAATATACCTACGTAGTAATACAATACATAACAGATACCTATTTAGTACATAGTAGAAGTTATTTAAACCTACACGTCACCAGAGGCCTTAGTACGAGTTTGATTTAAGTTTAAAGTACCTATTCGAAACAAGTACCTACGCGTTACGATTAGGTACTTTAAGCGTAAAACAGACTAGCAGACAACATTAACTTACGTTCTCCACGACTATCAGCCCATAAATGGAGAACTTCGTCCGTGAATGTGGGCGTTACTATATTTCCGCCATTAGCGTTCGTCACACACAAAACAAAATGAATTAAAACTTAAGGCATTCAATTAAAACAAAAGCAAAAGTTATATTTCAAAATGTTTATTTAGGCTCTTATGTACATAATTTGACCTATACTAGAAGCGAATGACTAAGTACACCGCGACACGCAGGCAGAGGTTAGGTAGGTAATTACCTACCTAGATGAATAGCCAGTTCTTAGTAAACTGTTTCCTTGTACCTACTCATAATAGACTGGGAGAATGGTTAAGGGCGGTGTGCAAAACTCGAAAATAACTGAGTAAAATATACATCTACCCATCAAAATTGAAAATGAGCTGTGATATTAATTATAGGTACTACATGCACCTTAGGTACTTACCTATATCCAGAACCAACTTATGAGAAGATAGCGTACCGCTCCCCAATTTGAGGTAGTGCAAAAAACTCAAATTCTACATACCCGCCTACCTATCTTCTGAATGTACCTAATCACTTCTCGGTGCTATTTATAGGTCAACCGTTGCTCTTTCTCTTAAAATACTATAAATAAAACACGCTTCTAGACTTCGTCTGATATTATAATTTAAACAACTATACAAACCGTCAGAATCCGAGATTCCAGTTGTTGGAAACATAGGTAGGTTGAATGAGCGGTGTGAATGAACACTGGTTCGGGGGAAAATAGATACCTACCTAGGTAAGAGAACTTGGGAGTCACAAAAATATAAAAAAAAAATAAGTACATAATCATGTTGAGAGCGAATTAAGTTGATAAGTAGGTACCTACCTAAGTGGCTAGGTTCTTGGCGAAAAGGTGAATGAGGGGTCATCCATAAATTACGTCACACGAATTTCATGATTTTTTTGCCCCTCCCCCGTCCTTGTCACAGCTAGTCATATTTATGAAACTCCCTCCCCCCCTAGTGTGACGTCATATTTTGCAGAATTACAGTATAGAAACAATTGTTATTTTTATTTCCACTTAAATGACTTTAAAAAAATATTAATATTAAAAAAACATAAAATATAATGACTTTTTGAAATGTTACATCACACAGTTTTGGCTCCCTCCCTCCCCCTTGTCACACAATGTCACACTTCGTCGACCCCCTCCCTCCCCCCTAAGTTGTGACGTCATTTATGGATGGTCCCTGACTGTAAAATGTACACGATAGGTATCTACCAACCTATAGATCGTCCTACTCTCCCAACTCACTAGTTAGGTTTTCAGTCTCAACACCTATCAGTAAACTGTCAACGATAGGATTCAGTAATGTACGTACCTACGTAGCTTCTAAGAAAATCGATAACCTATATAGGCAGGTACCTAGTAACATTGACTTCATTAGCCGATCGTAAAATACATCCATGTCACATCAACCTATTAACTTATCTAATCAGTGACTAGTGGAACAGACTCCGCGAGTTCTAAAATGCGTGAGAATAATAAAAGTAGGTCCTAAATTGCAACAAATAAAACATTAAAATGAGTTTCAATCATTTATTGGAGACACTGTACTGTAGTTGAATACTGCAACATCAGTAAAAGCATGCTGTGAATTGTTGGAATGTTTGTTTAGTCTACCTCTTCGATGGTAGGTCCGGCACCGCCACCGGGAGCCGCGCCTCCGGCACCAGGTGCGCCGCCAGGGAATCCAGGCATGCCTCCAGGCATACCGCCAGGCATACCACCTGCTCCCTGGTACAT